ATAAAGAGAGAGAATCATTGATCAGCTGCCTCCTGCACACTCCACACTGGAGATCAAGCCTGAAAGCTGAGCATGTGTCCTGACCGGGAATCAAATCGGTGACCTCTTGGTTCCTGGCACGATGTTCAACCACTGAGCCACACTTGACAAGGCAGTAGTTTCCTGTTTATGAGCCTCAGTTTCACCAAATAGGCATAATAATATGAGTCACGTTTGTCATGAAAATAGGCTAACAGGTCAGAGTAAATCTGAAGTCCTTTCATGCCTCTGTCCATCACTTCAGCGCTAACCCCCTCCCCAGGCCATGCCGTTGACCGCTGAGGATAGCAGCAGCCCGTTGGAAGGGGGGATGCTTCTCTCTAGAGTCAGATTCTTGGTCTGGCTGTCGAGCCTGCAGCCCCATTTCTGCGGCCAGCCAAGCACAGGTGAAATCGTGGAATCCTTCCTTCCCACCATCCTCTCCTTCGGCAACAGGCTACGGTTCGTTGGAGAGAGTCATGTGGCTGCAGGGGCTGGTGGCCAGGGTTTAGAGGGGGCCTCTGAGAGTCAGGATAGGACTAGAGTGAAGAAAGGTAAGCTTCAACGCTCCCCAAATTCTTCACCCGGGGCCCCAGTTCCCAGGGCTGCAAGTCAAGCAGCCACACCTGTGGCCTCGTCACCGCAGCACCACCAGCTGCGTTAGTGGGTCTTTCTTGAGTCATCTTGTCCAACTGTCTGACCACCACTAAGAGTTTGGTATCTTGTCATGTTCTCTGAAGATCCAGACAGTGTACTCATGTGATAGTCACTCACTGTGTGTGTGTGTGTGTGTGTGATTCCCTTCCTCCTTCTTTCTCCTTCTCATAGATAGATATCATATATCTGTCCAGGCCAAGACAGGATACACTTCAACAGCCCTTTGTCCAAATCCTTGCTCCAAGTCTCCAGAAAAGCAGCTCTAACCGGGGCTTTTTCTACAGGAGCAGACTCCCTACCTACCCTCCAGCTCTCTCCCAGGAGATCACTGTCCCCCAAATCTGTGGAAAAGATACACCCCCTCTTCTGATAGGTGTTGAGGGGTGATGTCCCTCTATATCCCAATAAAGCTATGGGGAGATATGGGCAAGGGTTCTCATGGCCTGTTCTTGCTATAAAAAGTCCTTTTTCGGAAAAAAAATAATAAAGAAAGAAATCAGCCAATCCCTCCTCAATGCCATCACCTCTTCTTGGTGATTTTTCGGGGAAGGAGTGGGTGGGTTGCCATGGCAACAGATGCGAGCTCCTCTCAGTAAAGAAGGGACCTTGATATTTTTTTTCTCCCATTCTCTCTCTTGGCTGTGTGTGTGTGTGTGTGTGTGTGCACGCATATGCCATACATGCCTGTGCCCACACCAGGAAATTTTTTTAGAACTAAAGAAAATCCTCTTCCCTCAGCTCCCCAAATATGGAGTGATGAAAAACCACTTCTCCTGCAGGCCAGGGAAGATTCGGGACTATTCAAGGGAAAAGGAAGCGGTCATACGGGGTTCCTTTCTTCCATCATTTTACTAGAGATTGCACGCAGCTGAGAGGAGTTCACAAATGGTGGGGGTCCAAGGGCTGGAAAGAAGAGAAGATGCTGGGTGGAGAGAGGACAGGTGATGCAAGAGCCCAACAGTGACATCAGAGAGGACGGCGACCGAAGGTGCATTGAGGCTGGGGACACATGCAAATCCCTACGGCATGGGATGCTGCGAGAGGAAGGCCCGGGGCAGACTCAGACGTGGACACAAGCACACATACACGGACAAGGTGGCACACAGAAAGCTGCAAAATAATAAAAATACATACAGGCAGGCACAAACATAGACTTACATACAACACAAGAAGTCCTAGACATTCTTAATAGAGACAGGCATAAATACATAGGGATACAGACACACCACTACAAAGACGTGCAGACAGACAAAAAACATACAAATGCAGTCACGGTGAAATGGACAGCCACACACGCACACATGCACACTCTCCCTCCCTTTAATGGCCAGAGCATTAGCCAAGTGGCAGTGCATGGCTGGGAGTGCTGCAGGCTCACCCAGAGGGTTTGGCTGGAGTGCTCCCGCTCTCTATTGCTTCTACATACTCACTCCCAAGCCCCTCTCTCAGCTCACTCCCTTGCCCACTTCCCTAAAGCCTATGGGCTGCCACCACCCCCACCTCGGGCTTCCAAAGCTTAGCCTGTTCTGCTGCTGCTGCTGCTGCTGCTGCTGCTGCTGCTGCTGGGCTGTGGGGGGGAGGAGTGGGGTGACTCAGCCAGGCCGGGATGACTCACACTGCCAGTATTTTTAGCAGCAGCCAGGAGCTCTCTAGTGTGCCAGCCGCCCCCCTTCTCCTGCTTGCTATTTTGGAACTGTCACTGGTGATATAAATAGCTCCTCTCCCACGGCCTGCAGCTTCTGCCAGGCTATTTTTGGTTCTTCTCTGTTAAAAATAGCTCCGTGGAGGTGGGAGGAAAAAGGAGTGGGAGCTAGCCTAGGGAGAGGAGACATTGGGGCATTCAGAGCGCCCCGACTTGAATCAGAGTGGGCGAACTAGGATGAACCTTTTTCTGCTCCCTCTTTTGTCCGTTTCTAGACCATTCTTCCCTTCCCGAGCAGCTCTCTTTTCCCCAGTCTAAGCTCTTGGAAAAATCCAAGAGCTCTTCCCTTGCAGCCCATTCTCCCCTCATGCTTCCTTCACTCCCAGAGCTCAGAAATCTTGGCCCCTGGTACCCTCTCCCATATTCATCCTCAGAGGAAGAGGGGGCATTCCCCTGGGACCTCATTCTGAGGCCTGTGTGGTCTGAAGCTCTTACTTGGATGTCCCAGGCAGATGTCCCTGGTGAGTTTTCAGGACCACGGACAGCGACCAGAGCCCGTTCTGTTTACTGCGGACGCGCTGGGCCCAACCAAGAGACACTGACCATGGAGAGGGACACTAAGAATGTCTCCCCGCCAGGGCTAGAGCAGCGCGTGAAGAAAACAGGAATACTGCCCTGGATCTTCATACAAGAAGGACATCCAACGATCAAGGGCTTGTCCACAGGAAGCCTAAGGGAGGGGTGGGTGAGCACGTCAGAGTCAGATAGGATGACAGTGGACCCACTGCTCTGTCACCCAGATACATAGGGTTGGGGAGTGTGCAGTCACACCCATCCTTCCCCTCCACTTCAGATGGCTGGTGGGAATGTCCCCAACATCTGCCAAAATGGCCCGAGCGGTCGGCCACCCTTCTCCTTGGCTGTCTCCTCCTCCCAGTCTGCCCCTCTTGCCACTGCCCTTTCCCACAAGGAGTGAGGAGTCCCTTGACCCCAAACTTCACTTCTTGCTGTCAAAGTGTATCTCTACCCTCCCTATGGGACTGTCTGTGATCAGGCCGGCCCCTCTCTCCCAATTCCAAAGTGACCTCATTCCCAGCCCCTCCAGTGATTTCACACAAGCCCCCAACCCCCGTCTTCCAAGTGAGACTTCGCATAAACTGTCCCCTCGCCCACCCCTTCTTCTTCTATAGGATTCTGGGGGGAAAGAAAGGAACCCCTCGGCCCCCGTAGAGAGCAATCATCGGTGCTGAAAAGAGAAAAAAGGAAGAGGGAGATGGGGCCAAGGAAACAAAACCGACAAAGGACATTCGGGAGAGCAGGAGGGGCCTGAAGGTGTGGGGAGTGGAGGGTGCAGGAAGCTGGGACGAGGCGAGGAGATACAGAAAGTAGTTCGGTGGTGGGGGGGGGGTGTGGAGAGGGGAAGGTAGAGAGGCTGAGAGAGGAGTCCTAGCACCGAAGGTGGAGAGGGGTCTGCAGGGGTGTGGAGGGCAGCCTGGCGAGCCAGGGGGTCCGCGGGGTGGGGGTGGGGGGGACAAGGATCTCTCCTGGAAGGTCCAGCTCAGCCCCCTCGCTCCTCTGCTGCTTCCCCATCCTCCCGGCCGGCGGAGGCGGAGGGGGGGCCTCGGAGCGCTGCGGAGGCAGCGAGGCTCCGCCCGCCGCTGCGCCGCGGCTCACGCCGGAGGATTCCTCTCCATATAAGGAGCTGGGATTCCCCGGGCCCGCCCCGCGCCCGCCCCCGGCCCGCGGGAGACACCGGCCTGCAGTCGGGCGGGGGCGGAGGCTGGAAGCGGGGGGGCGCTCACTTTGGGGCGCACAGGGACGCATGGGGAGGGGAAGGGATGCCTAGGGGCAGACTCAGACCCTCACCATGCCCGGGGCCCTGCCTCAGTTTCCCCCGCCACAGGCTGAGGTTAATTCGTTGACAGGAAAACGCGGAATCCCTGCAGCCTGCAGCGCAGGTGCTGCTGTTTCTGTTCGTGGCGGAGGGAAGACAGGACCAAGGCCAAAGTCAGCCGTCCCCTCTTCCTCAGACCCCCTTTCCCTCCACCCGGGGCTCAGACCCCACCCGAGTGGCTCTCCTGATAAAGCCCAGGGCCTGGCTCTGGGTGGTGGGTAGTGGGGGGGTGATGGAGGCTCGTTCTTTGAAAGTGACTAAGGGAATCCCAGCCTCAGGAATCCCTAGAGAGAAACCCTCGCTGTGACCTGTCCCTCGCGTGAAGGTGACGCCTGGCCAGCAGCTAGGATGGTGGCGGCGGTGGGGGGGGGGGGGTTGTGATAGCCATGCCTTCCCTCCATTTTCTTATCTCCTTTAACAATCTAGTCGGAACCAGCCCCTCCTGGCCCTCCCTCTGCAGCCTCTCCCGCCAGGGGCTTCTGGCCGACTCAGCCCTCGCCTTGGCGCTTCCCTGGGCAGAACACACTCGGACTCCCTCGCACCCCCTTCCCAACGCAGCACCTGCCCCTCAGCTCGGCTGCCGCCAGCCCCAGCCCCCTCCGCAGCCTCCTTCCCCCCTCCCGCCGGCACCCCTCCTGCTCTCGCTCTACGTCACGGGATGACGTAGGAAGCCGGGGAGGGTGGAGGAGCGCCTGCCAGTGGCTCCTGCTGCAGTTGGCTAAGCCCAGCCTCCCGCCCTCCCGCCCCCCCTTCTCTAAAGCGTGCCCCCCACGCCCGGCAGGAGCTATATAAGGCGGGACGAGGCAGCCGCCGGGGGCAGCGCAGCGGAGCGGAGCCCAGGAGAGGAGAGGAGAGAGCCAGCCGGAGCGAGAGACGGGCAGCGAGGAGGAAGGAGCCGCCGGCTTCGGGACAGGACCGGACCGCAGGTGCTTGGAGCGCCGGGGCCGGAGCTCCGCGGCCGCCAGGCATGTACCGCTCCACCAAGGGCGCCTCCAAGGCGCGCCGCGACCAGATCAACGCCGAGATCCGGAACCTCAAGGAGCTGCTGCCGCTGGCCGAGGCGGACAAGGTCCGGCTGTCCTACCTGCACATCATGAGTCTCGCCTGCATCTACACTCGCAAGGGCGTCTTCTTCGCCGGAGGTGAGCAACGCGGGGCTCTTCAGAGACCCGAGCTGGCGGGCCCCGGGGACAGCGGCGCTCAGGGATCCCTCCGGGGATGTCTGGGGTTGGTGAGCTGGGAGAGAAGGGATCAGGGACTAAGCTTTTCCTTCCGAGCTCTGTCCAGACTTCAGCTTAGTTCTGGGTGGGGATGGAGAAGCTGTGTCCCTGGTGCCGGACTCAGGAAAGGGAGAGAGCCGGGACAGAATGGCCCGGGTTCCCAGCCGCGCAGAGGCGCGCCCGGAGCCCGGAGAGGAAAGCCTGGGAAGTTGCAGGGACAGAGTCGCCAAAGCCGGGGGAGCGCAGCCCCCCGGGGCGATGCTGAAAGGGCTTCTGCCGCTCTTGAAGCGCTGTCCGCGGTGCTGCTGACAGCACCGCCCGGCTGCGAGGCGCTGTCCGCGGTGCTGAACGCCGCGGCGCCTCTGTAGCGCTGTCCGTGGTGCGGACACTCAAAACGGCAGAGGGCTCGGCCTGACTTAGAAGTCCAGCAACAGGTGCCCTAGGCAAGAGGCACGGGCAGACCCAATGAGCCACAGGTGTGTGCAGAGGCAGGCCCGTGAGAGATTCCTCTGGATTTTCTAACGTTCACCCCATGCTTTCCTCACTTCTGCTTTGCCTCCCAGTCTTGCTCCTGACTCACCGTGTCTTCTCATCCCACAGGTGCTCCTCTGGAGGGCCCCACAGGCCTTCTCTCAACTCAAGAGCTTGAAGACATAGTGGCCGCGCTACCTGGCTTTCTGCTCGTGTTCACAGCCGAGGGGAAGCTGCTGTATCTGTCTGAGAGTGTGAGCGAGCACCTGGGCCACTCCATGGTGAGTGCTGAGGGGACCCTACGAGCTTTCTACTTCTGAGAATCTGAGGTTACTTGGAAGCAAGGTTTACGCACCGAAGATGCGTTTTGTGAAGGATTGGCTCTTGATGCTTTCACTAATGATCATCTCTTCATCTTTCTCCAGGTGGACCTGGTTGCCCAGGGTGACAGCATCTACGACATCATCGACCCAGCTGACCACCTAACTGTGCGCCAGCAACTCGCCCTGCCCTCTGCCCTAGACACTGGTGAGCTCTCCTTTCTCTCTTCCTCAATTCAATCTCCCATCTGCTGCCTTGCTCCTCCCCATCTGCCATCTCTCTCAGCCACTTGCCTTCTTATCAGTGTTTCTCTTCACTCACCTAGATCGCCTCTTCCGCTGTCGCTTCAACACCTCCAAGTCCCTGAGGCGCCAGAGTGCAGGCAACAAACTGGTGCTTATTCGAGGCCGATTCCATGCTCACCCACCTGGAGCCTACTGGGCGGGAAACCCTGTGTTCACAGCCTTCTGCGCGCCCCTGGAGCCAAGGCCCCGCCTCGGCCCTGGTGCGGGCCCCGCCTCACTCTTCTTAGCCATGTTCCAGAGCCGTCATGCAAAGGACCTGACCCTACTGGACATCTCTGAGAGGTGAGCTCAGAGTGTGTAGACCCCAGGAGGAAAGTGGGCCAGAGATGAGGGGACCCTAGATTCCGGAGTCAGGGGACCTAAGGGAGCAGAGGACCTGGGGGCGGGGGGAGTGAGATGCCTTGACAAGCAGGGAAAACAGAAAGCTGACCTCACCCTTTCCGCTTTCCCAGTGTCCTAATCTACCTGGGCTTTGAGCGCAGCGAGCTGCTCTGTAAATCATGGTATGGACTGCTGCACCCCGAGGACCTGGGCCACGCTTCTGTTCAACACTACCGCCTATGTGAGTGTCCAGGAAAGCTGGGACAAGGCAGGGAGCTGGGAAAGGGCATGGGAGAGCCTACCAGGAAGGTCTGGTCAAGGCTGATACTGGGGAGGCACCAGAGGCCAGCAGTGTTGGATGCTATAAGGGTGCACAGTAGGGTGAGGAGTGAAGGTGAAAATAGCATCAGAATTGGGGGACTCCAAATAGTGAGGCCAAGGTGGGGAGCTGAGGGGTACAGGGTAGGGTAGTCAGAAGAGCATGCTATTGATCCCCAAACTCAGTGGAGAGGTCAGTGGGGTGATAGTTTAGGGGATGTTATGTGACATGTGTCCTAACTCTGCATCTTTTTTCTTTCCCTTCAGTGGCTGGGAGTGGAGATATTCAGGCAGAGATGGTAGTGAGACTGCAGGCCAAGCCTGGAGGCTGGGCATGGGTTTATTGCCTGTTATACTCAGAAGGTCCAGACGGCCCCATTACTGCCAATAACTACCCAATCAGGTGAGCTGTGAGGCAGGAGCCGGGAGTGTTTGAGGGCAGCGGAGGTGGGCATGGAGGAGACACAAATCTGGGACCTGCTCTGGGAGTGGACACCAAATCCTTACTGGCTATCTCTCCTCTCCTCTCCAGTTACCCAGAGGCCTGGAGCCTCCGCCAGCAGCTGAACTCTGAAGACACTCAGGCAACCTATGTCCTGGGGACCCCAACCCTCCTGCCCTCATTCTCTGAGAACATCCGTTCCCGGGAGCAGGGCTCCAGCCGTAACCCACTCTTTACCCCGGCCCTGGGGGCCCCTCGGAGCACCCGTCTCCCCACTGCTCCTGAGATGGGTGCTGTCTCCACATCAGAAGAGCTTCCCCGACCTCCCAAAGGGAGGGGCTTCCGCTACCTGACATTTCCACCTCGCCCGGAGCCTTCTCTCCAAGCCGACCTGAGCAAGGATCTCGTGTGCACCCCGCCCTACACACCACACCAGCCAGGAGGCTGTGCCTTCCTCTTCAGCCTCCACGAGCCCTTCCAGGCCCATCTGTCCACTCCATCCGGCTCTCTCCCAGGACAGCTGACCCCAAGCGCCGTGACCTTCTCGGATCAATTGACGCCCAGTAGCGCGACCTTCTCAGACCCACTGACTAGCCCACTACAAGGCCAGCTGACCGAAACTTCGGCCAGGAGCTATGAAGAGCAGTTGACTCCCTGCACTTCCAACTTCCCAGACCAGCTGCTTCCCGGCACTGCTGCCTTCCCCGAGCCTCTGGGCAGCCCTGCCTGTGAGCAGCTGACTCCTCCCAGCACAGCATTCCAAGCACATCTGAACAGCCCCAGCCCAACTTTCCCAGAGCAACTGAGTCCCAGTCCCACCAAGACTTACTTTGCCCAGGAGGGATGCAGTTTTCTCTATGAGAAGTTGCCTCCGAGTCCCAGTAGCCCTGGTAATGGGGACTGCACACTCCTGGCCCTCGCCCAGCTCCGGGGCTCCCTCTCTGTGGACCTCCCCCTGGTGCCCGAAGGCCTGCTTACCCCTGAGGCCTCTCCAGTCAAACAGAGTTTCTTCCACTACTCCGAGAAGGAGCAGAATGAGATAGACCGTCTCATCCAGCAGATCAGCCAGTTGGCTCAGGGCATGGACAGGCCCTTCTCGGCCGATGCCTGCGCAGGTGGGCTGGAGCCACTTGGGGGGCTGGAGCCCCTGGACTCCAACCTGTCTCTGTCTGGCCCTCCTGTGCTCAGCCTGGACCTGAAACCCTGGAAATGCCAGGAGCTGGACTTCCTGGCTGACCCTGACAACATCTTCCTGGAAGAGGTGCCTGTGGAAGACATCTTCATGGATCTCTCTACCCCAGACCCCAGTGGGGAATGGGGCTCAGAGGATCCTGGGGCAGCGGTCCCAGGAGGGGCCCTGTCGCCTTGCAACAACCTGTCCCCAGAAGACCACAGCTTCCTGGAGGACCTGGCCACATATGAAACCGCCTTTGAGACAGGTGTCTCAGCATTCCCCTACGATGGGTTTACTGATGAGTTGCATCAACTCCAGAGCCAAGTTCAAGACAGCTTCCATGAAGGTGAGTCCAGCCTGAAAGCTCAAGACCTCAAGTCCCTGTCCTGCCAGCGAGATTCTGGGTGGAATCAGAGGAGTCAAGTCCCCTCTCTGTACCTCCACTTTACTAGTGGGATAATATTGTCTGCTGCCCAGGGTAGCAGTGAGGATCAGGACTAATGAAAAGTAATCTGGAAACTCCCAACAAGTAGGCCCGAAGGGCAGAGGTTAGGGGTGTGGGATAAATGCAAGAGGATCCTTCACTCATGGTCTCTCCTTAACTCTGTGAAGGACCTAGATCAGCCATTATCACCCCATTTTACAGATGAAGACAATCAAGGTCCCAGGGTTAAAGACACTTGATGGGAGAGGCATTAGAGCCCCATCTCAGTATTCTCCCCCCTAGAGAGGATACAGACTGAGCATTTATAGGCATTAGGAAAAGTAAGAGGCTGTCTTGCTATAGCTCCATCCCTTGCAAAATTATAGCCAAGGTTTCACTCCATCTGTCCAAGTTGCTCCCCTTTCTGCTGAACCTCTGGTGATCATTCAGTCACTGGGCCAACATATTTGAAGCCCCTACTATGTGCCACATCCTCAGCCTGTGTTTCCTAACAGCCTGATTGTTCTCTCTCTCTCTGCAGATGGAAGTGGAGGGGAACCAACGTTTTGAATAAGTCTGTGACTTAACGTCGTCAAGTATGGCATATTGTCATCAAGACGTGGAGCTGCTCTCCACCCCCCCGGGACTGTTGGGGGGACTCTAGGGGCTGGAGGGGGATATATCTGATTCCCCAGGCCCTACAGGATTGGGTAGGGGGGAGGAGGGAGGGCGAGGGAGGGGAGCTTCTTTTTCAACTCTAGAGACTTCCAGCGATCCCAGTTTCCATTTCAATCTGTATTCACTCGTAGTGAGTTTCCTTGAATGGGATTTCAAGTGGAGAATGGGGGAGTCTCGCTTTTCCCCAGTGCTGCCCCATGGGCTGGGGCCAGTTCTCCGCTCCCAGGGGCCAAGCCACCCCTGGGCCTGGGTGGGGGAAAGGCACCACCCATGCGGGCCGGCCTGTGCCCCGAGGGGCCCTTGACACCACGTAGAATTCTCTACACACCAGTAACGGGATTTCAATTCCGACAGACTGCCGCCCCGGCGGCGCTTGTGACTTTTGCGCCCCGCACCTGGGGTGGGGGGCGTGAAGAGACGCTACGTTCCTTTCCGATGGAGGAAGGCAGACCTGCCGTTGTCACACGTGTGCTTGCACGAGAGCGTGTACCCGGTGCAGGACTCACCCGGCTGCCAGACTGCCTGGGCCTGCCCAGGTGGCCACCTCGTGGTGCTGTGGTGACTTTGTAGCCAACTTTATAATAAAGTCCAGTTCGCCTTTTTGGTACGCCCGCGTCATGCTGTGAAGAGGGGAGGGTGGGGGCCCGAGAGGGTTGGGAGGCCCAGGTGGGGGAGTGGGGGTCTGGGCCTGCAGAGGGCTCGGCGTTTCTTGGTTCACTCGTTCGCTCAGGCGACACCTGAGTGAGCAGTGTGCCGTCCACCCTGTGCTGGAAGCCGGAGAGCTTGGAACTGGAACAACAGGTGCCACAACTTGCCTTCACAACGCCGGAGGGTCTGTACCTCCCCCGCGTCCGGGCTGGAAGTGTCCTCCGTGGCGGGAGCAGCAGGGCCTGGGGTGGGTAGTGGGCTCCGTTGGCATTTCCCGGGGGATGGGTTTGAAGTCTCAGGACATGAGTTTCTTTCTTCGGCCGGTCCTGCAGGGAAACAGCTTCCCTCTGTGGCTGTGGGAAATGACCACCCTTCAGCTGACACACACCTTTACATCCCTCCCTCACTGCAGTGAGGCCTCTGAACAGGCTGTGACCGGATCCCCCAGCTGGTGAGAGCCATCAGTGGTCAACGCGGCACCTGCAGCGTTGGGCTGAGTCCTCCGCCCCTAAACCCGTGAGCCACCATCTCAAATCATCCCATCCCAGAGGTGGCGGCTTGACCTGGAGCGGGGAGCCTCTTCCCTCCAGGGCTGCATATTAAAGTTTTCAAAAATACTGCTTTCCTCTGAGCCTGAGGGCCCAACAGCATGGTAGGGGTGGGAATGAAAATTAGGAGACAAAAAAGGCCTGGATTTAAATTCACCAACTTTTTGCTGAGTGGAACCTGAGCCTCAGTTACTTCTCAGGTAAATTGGGGCTGGAGTCCAGCCAGTGTGGCTCAGTGGTTGTCTGTCTACTTATGGACCAGGAGGCTCAGGTTGTGGGGTGTGCAAGAGGCAGCTGATCCATGAGTCTATCTTTCTCTCCCTCTCCCTCCCTCTCTGAAATAAATATATAAATTCATATATATATATGAAAAAAGGATTTCGCTGGTGATTGGTGGAGGTGGTGGGTGATAGGAGAGAATGCGCGTTATTGCTGAGAAGGCAGGTGACTTCAGAAAGAGACCCTGGCCACCAAGTTGGTTGGAGAGGAAAAAATTAGAAGAGCCAATAGCTCCATCTGCTGGACAGGGAAGTAACTGCTTCTGTCCCTCTCAGAGCTTCAGAGCTTAGAACAGAAAGAACTTGCCTAGTGGCACCCTCACACCTGACTCTCAGCCGGTTCTCTTCCTACCGATACCAGACCCTGCCCTGGGAGCAGAATGCAGGAAAAAGAGCTCGGGTTTGGGGGTCATGAAGACTGAGTTCAAGCGCTGGCTCTGCAGCCTCACTCTTCGTGTGATAAATAGTATTCCCAGGATCTACATGCAGCAGTGTTCCGGGTGCCGGCGTTGCAACAGTGAACAAGACACAAGGTCGCTGGGCTCACAGAGCCCGCATCCTAGCTGAGGGAGACATAACAGAAATTAAATAGTCTGCAAAAAGCGCACAGTATGTTTTCAGTAAGGGAAAGAACCATTCTCTGAAAGCAGGAACTGTGTCTTACATTTATCCTGTGTCCTCAGTAGTAGGAGCACTGAGCACAGTACCTGACAATAAGCCGCTCAAAACTGTTTGCAAGTGATGTGCATCCTAAGTTTGTGTATGTGTGATATATATTAAATGTTATATATTTATATTTGATTTATATTTTTAATATATAATCATATATTAAGTTAAATGATTTTTAGAGAAGGGAGAGGGATAGACAGAAACATCAGTGAGAAGCATCATCAATTGACCGCCTCCTGCACACCCCCCACTGGGGATCGAGCCTGCAACCTGGACATGTGCCCTGACTGGGAATTGAACCTTGAGCTCTTGAGTCATGCTCAACTACTAAACCATCCCAGCGAGGCTGTATGTGTGTGTGTGTGTATATAAATACCCAACAGGTATTTTATTGCTGCTTCTGAGGACTTGGTTAAATAACCATGGTCCACTCACAAGACAAAACACTAAGCAGTCATCAAAAATTGCTTAAAGAAGGTAATGAAAAACGTTCTAAATAATTGCCAAGTTAAAGGTGAAATACAACAGCCCTACCTGGTTTAGCTCAGTGGATAGCGCATCAGCCTACAGACTGGAGTCCCAGGTTTGATTCCAGCCAAGGGCACAGGCCTGGGTTACTGGCTTCATCCACAGTGGGGACGTGCAGGAGGCAGCCAATCAGTGATTCTCTCGCATCATTGATGTTTCTCTCTCTCCCTCTTTTTTCCTCTCTGAAATCAATAAAAAAAAAATATATTTTTAGAAAAGTAAAATACAACAGTATCTAGAGTATGACACCGCTTTATTTAAAAACACACACACACACATATAAATACACGCACAAAGAAACAAAGAGTAGAAAAGATATATACCTAAATACTGGTAAGAGTCTCATCTGGGTGGTGGGATTCGCCAAACTGGAGTTATTTTTTGTGTGTGTTTTCCAAATCTCGGTGCAAAACAAAAAGACTAGCACGGTAACGGGTGTTCGGTAAACGTGAATCCATTTCTGCCCCGACTCCTCCTCCCTTCTCCGCTGGGACAGTCCTTGAGGCTCTGGGGAATGGGAAACAAAGGCCAGGCTCCCTAAGGTCTTCCCCACCTCGGGCAGGGACCTGCTGAAGCTGTGTTCTTCCGTGGGCCTGTAGCCACGAGCCCAGTTCACATTCAGCTGGCACCTGACCGAGAGCGAGGACCAGCTCAGCGGAGGGGCCTGAAATAGCCCTTGGGATCTGGGGCACTTGTGCAGTAACACTGTTGGGGCTGTGACCCGAAGTCACCACAGGGGTCTGTTTCTGTTGAACTGGCAAGTCCCCAAGAGTTAAGAAATGTTTCTGGCCCTAACCAGTATGGCTCAGTGGATAGAGCATCGGCCTGTGGATTGAGGGGCCCCAGGTTCGATTTCGGTCAAAGGCATGTACCTTGGTTGTGGGCAGATCCCCGGTGGAGGGTATGCAGGAGGCAGCTGATTGCTGTTTCTCTCATCGATGTCTCTCTCTATCCCTCTCCCTTCCTCTCTGTTAAAAAATCAATGAAATATATTAAAATAGGTTTCTGATTACAGCACAAGCAACATCTGCTGCTTCTGTAAAACAGTCCCAGCGCTCCCAGCCCCCACCTGCCCTGCTCGTTTTGTCATCAGTGGGGAGGAGGGCTACTCCTCCGACCTCTGCCACTAATTCACCTGGACAAGTTGCTCTGCTTGGCTGAGCCTCGGATCATGTATCAGAAGCAGCATCAAGAGCCCTGCTGCCTGAGCTGCCGCCATCAGTACTGGTCCTTTCCCCCAGGGTCCTAAGACAGAACTCAGAGTGGGTGACAACGACGTTTATTTAGGCTGAATCCCCTGATACACCCACAGGTGTAAAAATACATAATCGAAAGTCGGGGCCATAACGATCAGGTTGGTGTCATCTCCCCTCTCCCCTTCGGCACAGCCTTTCCAGCGGCTCTCTTCACGTTTCTGGAGTGTGCAGGCCAGGGGTCACTTCTTGGCAGCTTCGGCCTGAGCTGCCAAATCGGCCTCTTTCTGAGCCGCCAGGAATGCGGCTCGCTCCTTCTGGAAGGCGGCCAGCTCTTCCGCACTGAGGCTGCAGGTACGGAAACAGACGGTGCGTGAGCGGTGACGTCGTCGCCTCAGAATCCTTTCTCCCCTCCTGGACTTCGCATCCTCTGCTCATCTGTTTCCTCCCCATCCTCCCCACCTCTGCCTTTTGTTCCCTTCTTTAAGCCCTACGGTCCTTTGAGGCCCCGGTGACATCTCAACCTAGATCAACGGGCTCTTCCTCTGAGCCCACAACACTGTGCAGTGAAGCCTCCGGGTGCGCGTGTCTCCCCCTGAACAGGGATAGATGTTCGCATTTCCGTGCTCTGGGCAAAAGTAAAGATTTGAGAAAAGTGACGCCCATTCTTGTTCCCTGCTGAACCCCACTTCTCCTGGGAAACAACCGGCAGCAGAAGACAAGTAAAGGGTTGAGTACAGGCCCTGCTGTTGTCCGGGCCAGACGCCCTCTCACCTAACATCTCCCTTCAAAGATACCATTCCTGAGGTCACCTGAAGCCCCAAGGCGGGCCCCCTGCTGGCCGGCCTCTCTCAGCTACTTCCTATTCTGCCTGCAACGCCCGGAGTGTACACCAGATGACACGGCCGTCTTTGCTGCACTCTTTCACCTTCCATCCTTCACAGGAATCCCCGCTTTTCGGAATGCTTGCCCCCAGTCCTTGACTTCCTCTTCCAGTTCTCTGTCACTGCTCCTACAAAGTTCCCATCGGCACCCCAGGCAAATCGGGGGTCCTACACTTTGTTCTCAAGACAGCTGTCCTTCAGCACTGCCTGTCTGAGTCTCATGCTCCATGTGTGCATCTGCCTCCGGCGCTGGGCTGTGACTGCCTTAACAGCGGGGCCAAGCATGGCTATCTTGTTCCCAGCCTCATCAAATGCCCAGACAACATCTAACATGCACAAGGTCCTTCACAAACGTATTCCAAACGAATGAATGCGGCTCCCAAGACTCTAAGGTCCTCTGACTCAGAAGCTGACCCTCCCACTAATGTGCACACGGTCTCGCCCCCCCAAAGTCAGGAGCTGTCCAGGTCCTCCCCTTACAGCGCTTCCCCAGAACACTCACTCCTTCACCACGCGAATGCCCAGGGAGCGGGCCGAGCCGATGAGGGAGCAGACGACGGCGGCCAGCGGCATGTCCCGCAGGGTGAAGGCGTCGTCCTGGGCTTTAACACAAGCGATCTCGTACACGTGCTTCAAGGACAGCAGGCCTGCCACCTCCTTCCCTGGAAGGAACACGCAGCCCTTCAGCGGTCACTGCCTGCTCCCAGAGCCCCCCACCCCCCAAAACCCAGGGGCCTACCCGACCGACCCCCACCTGTCTGCCGGGCCCCCTTTTCGATCCCGGCAGCTGCCTTCAGGAAGTAGGTCGCAGTGGGTTGTCCTATCTTGATTTCAAACGTCCTGTCAGGCTTAATGAAAAATAAATAAGTACGAGAATATCTCTTCCTGCCTCTCTCAACCCCTGCTGCCCCAACCGAGGGTCCTTCTAACTTCCTGTCGCCCTCTCCCTTGAGCCCCTTTCTGATGGTGTCCCTCCAAAGGACCACGAAAATAAACCTGTAGCCAACAGCCCTGTCGGCTCTATGCCAGGCCCAGCTGCGCTCAGGAAGTCCCGGAGGAGTGAAAGGACCAAGGAAGGCCTGCCCCAGGGCAGGCCAGGCTCAGAAAAGGCACTGGTGTCCCCGGCCCAGATGGGGAACGTGGGGCCCAGTGACAGGAAGAGACTTGCCCCGGGTTAGGGGCGGGTGGCAGCCCCAGGCGACCAGCCCCAGCCCGAGGGAGCGCGGGGGGGTGAGAAGACGCTAGGCACCTTCACAAAGATCTTGGTGGGCAGAGGGACGCCTTCTTTGATGTCCTTCGTCTTCTCGTTGAACTCCTTGCAGAACTGGTTGATGGAAACGCCTCGCTGTGCGGAAGCACGGGGGCTGTCACAGGGAGGGAGGAGCGCTCCCTACCCCTCGGGAGCCTCCCTCAACCCTCCCTCCCCATCTCCAAGCCTCCACGTCCCCGGCCTCTGTCCTCCCCCCGAATTCGACGGCCACTCAGGAGCCAGGAGGTCTGCAGGCGGCACCCCTCTGTCCGCACCCAGTCCGCTGGGGAGGGCAGAGGCGGCGGCGCCCCGGGAGGCGCAGGGAGCGAGTGGGTAGCGGAGCCGCGCCTGGAGCCGAGGCCTCCCGGCTCCCGAGCCCGCCCTCCACCCGAGCACCGGCTCCCACCCGGCGGCGCCCCCGCGCCGAGGCCCGCGCCGCACCTGACCCAGCACCGGGCCCAGCGGGGGCCCCGGCATGGCCTGGCCCGCTCGCACGATGGTCCGGATCACGCCGCCGACCTCGGGCTTCTTGGCCGCCCGAGTGGCCCGGATTAGCTTCGACATGACGCGGGGTTCACTGCCTCGGTTCGTTCACCTCGGGTCGACGGCAGCGAGACGGACCGCCCTGGGCGCCGCCATCTTGTGTCAGAGGTCACGGGTCCTCTCTTTAGGTTAGGGCTGGTGAGGCCAACGAAGAGCAGAATTGTTTCTGTCCTCCAATGAGTAAGACAGAGAGGGTGATATACAGAAAAAAACGTTAATCTTGCCATCTGAAGATACAAGAAGGACCCGAATGGTTCGGATACACATATTTCTCCCGAAGAGCATACAGGCAGTGCCTCGGACAGCTAAACTAGAGAAGGCCCTTAATACCGCACAGCATTGTGGGTATGGTAGTTTTGGCCGCCTTGCAAATCCCTCAGATCGCTGTGCGCTGGGGCGCTATCTGCTGGACATGGCGATTGTCCTTTGAAACGAATTCACCTGTTGTTCAAAGGCGGTATGGTTAAGAGTACAGCATGTTCCTCTTGCTGCCTGTGAACTTTATGGGGTTTGGACCTCCAGTGTACACAGGATAAAAAGATTCGCTGGGCTACAAGGAGAAAGGAGAAAGAGGGAAGTGGGGTGATGAGAGATGTAGGAGGTCCCAGCTAGAGAGGCCAGTAGCCTGCTTCCCAGGTGGGTTAATGGAGCCCTGTAAAGTGGTTCAGGCCAGAGGTCTGTGGGTGGCTAATTCCATTCGCCAAGGAGGCAGCAAGACCCTGGTGAGGGCCCCAGCTGGTTTGGCTCAGTGGATAGAGCATAGTCCTGCGGACTGAAGGGTCCCGGGTTCGATTCCCAGTCAAGGGCACATGCCCAGGTTGCGCGCTCCATCCCCAGGATGATTCTCTCTCATCCTTGATGTTTCTATCTCTCTCTCTCCCTTCCTCTCTGAAATATATATATATATTTTTAAAGACCCTGGGGAGGGAACAGCTGTGTAGTGACCACTGAAGGCTGGGCAGAAATGAGTGTGCTTTGTAGGGTGACATGGAGAGAAAAAGAAGCTGCCAGCCCTGAAGGGCATGGCTGACCAGCTGGAGGATTTCTCTGGGTGAAGGTCCAGTCAGGCCATGGGGACCTGTGTGAACAGATGCCATTGGGTGCCAGATACACCCCACAGTGTGCACTTTCCTGCCACCCTTCGCTCTCCTGTGCCTCCATATGTGCCAATGCAGACCTGACACTCTTTCTCACCTTTTCTTCCCGGCTCCCTCTGCCTCCATACCCTTCAGGAAGGTTCCTCATAGGCTGAGTTTTCTCCACCTGAAAGTAATATATTAAAGCCCTAACTTATAGTGCCTCAAAAGTGATAGGGCCTTTACAGAAAGGTAATTAGTTAAAATGAGGCCATTAGGTTGGGCCTTCATCCAATCTGACAGGTGCGCTTATAAGAGCAGGTCAGGACACAGGCATGCACAGAGGAAAGACCATGTGAGAACACAGAGAGAAGGTGGTCGCCTGCAAGCCAAGGAGAGAGGCCTCCGAAGAAAACACACTCGCCTACACATTGATTGACGTTAGGGATTTTTTTCAAATTAGAATTGTGACCTATCAATGGGTTATAAAATTGATTTCATGAATTCAACCAGCATTTTTAATGAAATAGAATAGAAAATGGAGTATATCGCATGGAGTAAAGATAAGTGTTTTTGCCCTGGCTGGATTGGCTCAGTTGCAACAAAAGGTTTTGGGTTTCATTCCCGGTCAGGGCACATACCTAAGTTCCGGGTTTGATCCCTGGTCAGGGCACACACAGGAGGCAACCAATCTATGTGTCTCCCTCACATCAATGTTTCTCTCCCTTCCTCTCTAGATTAATAAAAACATATACTCACGTGAGGATTTAAAAAAATATGTAAGTATTCTCATGAAACCTGTGTTTCCCGTGTGTGTGTGTGAGTGTGTGTGTGTATTGGATCACAATAAAAATGTGCCCAGCCTCCCTCCAAATAGAAAGCACTGCAGTGGCCTGTGTGACCCTAAAAAATGATGTTGCATCTTGCTCATTCCTGTATGTCCACGGCCTCCCCTTGGGCCTGGCAGGCAGGAGGCCCGTGGGAAATATTTGGGGACAAATGTAGTGACTCCTGCGTGTATTAGCGCCTGTGCTCCCACTGCTGTGGCCTCGGATCAGCGCCAGCGTCTTTCACCGGTGACAGCAGTATCCTAACAGCACCCCGCACTGGCTCAGAGCCGGAGGCTGAGGGGGCTCCTGACTTGAGGGAAAGGTGGCTGTGCAGCTCACTCCCATGCACAGCCGGCTCCCCGGGTCCTGCTGGGAGGGCAGGTGTTGCTTGTGGGTGCCGGTCGGGCGGTTCTGAAAAAATGGTCTAGGTTCTCAGTTCGAGATGGCAAGAGGTGGACCTCTTCTGAGGAGGAGCAAGACGTGGGAGACAGATGCAGAATAAAACACAAACTGGTCCCACAGTGGAGACTGGAGGGCACAGGGAAGGCCTCTAACCCGACGGCAGGTGGACGTAGACGATGGCCGCCCACAAAGGGAAGGCAGAGCTCTGTGGTGAGGCTGCCCCCCGCAGCATGCCATCTGCCCCGGGCGTTCAGAAGCGAGGCTCCCGGAAGGCCTGACCGCAGCCGTGAGCACTGGTGTAGACGTGGCTGTTGGAGCTCCTGAGGCAGAAAAATGGTCTTCCTGTGGCCACCCTGCCAGGGCATCCCCCCTTCCCTGAGGCCCAGGCTTCCTTCTGTCAGGCAGTGGCACCCAATGACCTTCCTGGTTATTGGTTACTGGACTGTGGGCCTGGCAGGTTTTCTGTGTTTTAAAAAAATATATATTTTATTGATTTTTTACAGAGAGGAAGAGAGAGGGAATAGAGAGTTAGAAACATTGATCAGCTGCTTCTTGCACACTCCCTACTGGGGATGTGCCCGCAACCAAGGTACATGCCCTTGACCGGAATCGAACCTGGGAACCTTTCAGTCCGCAGGCTGATGCTCTATCCACTGAGCTAAACCGGTTTCGGCGGCCTGGCAGGTTCTGATCCCCAGATAGCATGTGACCTGGGAGGGGGGCCTGCATTGCAATCCCAGCTCTGGCTGTGGCTCAGGTTCGTCCCTGCCTGGACCTCAGTCTCCCAGTGGTTGAGAGCAGGGGTGGAGACAGGTCACCGGCCCACCGCATCCCGCCGGAACATTACGGGGTTCTAAGCTTGCTTCTTGCTCCTAGGCCGTTCCCACTGTCACGGTTTCTTGTGGCTTCCTGATTCCAAACCTGTGTTGCTCGTGCCTGAAGCGGGGGCTGGGGTCCAGATGACAGCTGCCAGCACACAGGGGGCAGTAGCGCCTCACAGAAGGTGGCATGCCCACACAAAAGACCTCAGATGCCCTGTGTCCAGCCCCGGCTTTGTGCTTGTGTGTTTCCTCTGCCAGGTCAGACACAGAGAAGATCTCCTCTCCCCGATCCACCTGCCGTCTCTGACCCTCACTGTCCAGTGGGAATCCGTTCGTCTGAGTCACTAAGTCGGGGACTCCTATGCAGTCTGTGCAGCCTCCCCCCACCTTCCTAACGAACGGCTAATTGGCTTGGAAAAGACGGTCTTTAGTAAAGAGACCGCTCCAACGTTCTTAAACAGCCGTGCGAGACTATAACGGGGATTAAAAATCCTAGATCAGAGAGAGGTTAGCAAGATGTTTTCTGTAACAGCCAGAGAGCAAATGGCTTACGATCTCTATTGGGATTCCACGTCTCTCTGTATAGTTTGAAAGGAGCGCTCCACGCTGCTCAGACTCTGAGAGAGGCCCACGGGCCTGGCTGGCCCACAGGGCTCTGCACAAACTCAGCTCTGCGAGCGATGCCCAGCCTGCCAGAGCCTGGCCTAGCCTCAGTGTCTCTCTGTTTCTCTCTGTGTTCTTCTCTCCTTTCCTCTCTCTCTCTAAAAACCAACCAATAAATAAACAATCTTAGTTTAAAAAGGTAAACTTGTATCTTGTTCTTCTCTTTGTCTCCGCCCCCCCCCCCCCCCTTTTCTGAAGCAGTTTAAGGTTAAAATCTAGATTGAAGGGAGAGAAGGGAGGGGCTGAACAAAGGGATTTCAGAATAATACTGCATTTAGAATTACATACACACACACACACACACACACATATATATATAAAATTTTATATATATATATATATATATAATTTTCTCTCTCCCTTCCTCTCTGAAATATATATATATATTTCAGAGAGGAAGGGAGAGAGAGAGAAAAACACCAACAATGAGAGAGAATCATTGATCAGACACCCCCCACTGGGGATCAAGCCCGTAACCAGGGCACGTGCCCTTGATCGGAATTGAACCTGGGACCTTTCAGTCTGCAGGCTGACGCTCTATTCACTGAGCCAAACTGGCCAGGGCTCCTGCACTTTTTAAAAATTGTTGACAGTATTGTTGACGCTCCCCAGCCCTCCCCCTTTGTATCCTGCAAGTTTTTATCCCACTACAGGTAGGTATTAATATTATTTCCATTTTATAAATAAGGATACTGAGGACAGAGATTAAGAAACTGGAGTTCTTGGCATAGAGCATGGGACTCAGAGCCAGAAACCAAGGCTGAAGCTTGGGCATGTGTGTCTGTTGGTGGTACCCAGCTGTCCCCTCTCCTCCCCTGTCTGGACAGTGCTGGGATCAGTCCCAGCTCAGGCTTCTGGAGGCCCCTGAAGGTCTGGCTGTGCCCACCATGCAGCTCTGATCCGAGTTGATCCCAGCACTCCACGGCAGGAGAAATCACGGTCTTTCTGGTAGCACACGGGCTCTGGACAAACCTCGGCTCTGTACTTACCTTGCTATGGGATTCAGGACAAGTATCTCCCCCCTGCCAAAAAGGAAAGAAAAAACTTTTAAAAGAGAGTCCCCTTTGTCTCATTTGTGAACTGAGGTATCCATAGTAACCGCACATGGTCACTGGGCCTGCTCTGGCAGACAGCGCGCTAGCAGCTGGGAGGCAGAGGGCAGTGAGGCTGGCCCAGTGTCCCTATGTCCTACTGGAGCTGTGCATACCTGGCATGGGAGAGGGCACACTGTAGGCATTCAGGGGTGGAGCTGCGTTGTGGTGCAGGATTTGCATGGCCTGCTGCTGGCAGCCCAGCAGCCCAGCTTGCTCAGTGGTGTTTCCTTCTGATCAGGAGCCTCTGCCCCTGAAGGACTTGCTGTCCGCGGCTTTCTCGTTTCATCTGACAGAGGGCCCCAGAACAGTTGGCAAAGCAGTTGGTAGCCGAGACTATTTTTGGTGGGGGCGTTATGGGATGTGTGACTGTGGTGGGCCCAGGTGGTCTCAGAGACCGGAGCTTCTCAGGCAGCAGTCGGGGTGGGGGAGGACGCTCCCTCTCAGGATGTTTGTGGGCAAATTCACGTCCCTCTCAGGACAGGGCCAAGGCCATTTCCTCTGGGCAGCCTCGTCTGATTTCCTCCATGGAACACACGCTCACTCCAAAGATGCAGGTTAAGAATCCATCCTCTAAGCTTCCCTCGTTTGTCGATTATAGCTCCAAACAGACCAAGAGATAATGTCCTAAAGGGATCTCATCGGATGCATCTCGGCCTCTCCTGCTCTGAGCCCGTCCTGCCACTCCTAGTTATCACCGGTTAGGAAGTTAGGAGTCCAGACTTTGGAATCGCACAGCTGAAATCCGCTCCTGACTCCTTGCTAGCAGAATAACCACGACCAAGTTTGTAAGTCTATTTTCTCATCTGTAAAATGGGTATTACCGTGCCTGCCTCCCAGCCATGACAGGGCTTGTTTTGCTCAAAGTACAGTGGGTAGCACCTTGACCAGACCAAGAGATGAGATATCTTTCAGGCCAAGGCCCGCACGGGGCTGTGGGCCCTCCGTCCCTTTTGTGGCATTTCGCGTGGTGTGTGTGTGTGTGTCTGTGTGTGCGTGTGTGCCCAGCCGGCGGGAGGGAGGTGTTCTTGGGCTCCAAGGGTCCAGAATGGGCCAGAAGGCAACAAGGAAGCCAAGTGGCCTGGAAGAAAAGGTCTGACTCAGCGGCTCTCGGCGGGCCCCCTGCAGACGACAACCCTCTCTCCCCCGTGGGCCTCCTCTGGTATTTCCTTCTCCCTCTCCTTCCCGCCCAGCTCTCTCCTCTCATCATGAGGCTTCCCCAAGTAGAAGGCGGGGGTGGAGCGACCCTGGACTAATGTGGGGAGAGGGGCCTCCTGCCCAGCGCGAAGGCCCTAGACTGCGGTGGAGGATGGGCGCCCAGGTCTTTGGGGGGACCCAGGAAATCCCCAGAAATAAGGGCGGGGTCTGGGTAGCCCGAACTAGGCTACGGGGAGTCCCCGAACCCGCGATGGTAGTCCACCGAGTTCCTGAGCCGCGGCGACCTGGGACGTCCAGCGCCGGGGGCGGGGCCGGAGGGGCGTGGTCTTTCAAGAAGGGGCGGGGCCAGGTCTCCAGGCCTGAACTTCGCCGCAGGGGGCGGAGTCCTAGTGGGCGGGGCTCTCCTGGGGCGGGGCCAGGGGCGGGGCCAGGGCGGGAGGCGGAGCGTGGAGGTTCGCGCTGGTCCCCTCCCTCGGCCCCGGTGTCCCTGTGACGAGGCCGCGGAGCCGCGGGCCGGGCCCATCCCGCCGCAGCGGCCCGGGCGGCGCAGAGCGAGGCGCGGAGGGGCGGCGCGGGGCGATCCCGGGCGCGGCGGGTGAGGACCGGGCGGAGGGGGAGGCGGGGGCTGGCCGGGCGGGCCGGGCGGGCGCGGGGGGCGTGTTTGCGTGTCTGGGGGCGGCCGGGGGAGCGGGTCCGAGGGCGGGCGCCGGGGGCTGTTGGGGCGCTCGCGCCCGCGGCCGCGGGACCGGGGCTGGCCGTGCGCCCCCCGGCTCTGCCTGCGGGGCTGGGTGTGCGGAGGGCCCGGTGTATCTGCGTATGCGCTGGGCCGTCACCGTGCCGGTGCGGGGTGCCCGGTGCGGGGTGCGGGGCGCGGGGCGCGGGCCTGCCCGGCGCTGCCCCTCCCGCGCGGGTCTGTTTTCCAAACAGGCTTCCTGCGGAGATGGCTCCGCTGCAGCCTGGCTGGAGGGGGCGCCGCCCCCGCAGGCCCCGGGGACCAGACCGCCCAGGACTGCAGACAGACACCTGCGGGAGGCGGGAGGCAGGGGGCGCACCGCCCTGGGGCCGGAGGCCTGGCCGGAGGGCGAGGCCCAGGGGACAGACTGAGGCAGCGGGATAGGGAGGTGGAGGAGGACACACAGGCGGAGAAGGGGGAGAAGGTGGGAAGGCAGGTGGGAAAAGGACAGAGGCGGGAGGACGAAGAGTCATTGAGGAAGCAGACAGACAGAGGCCAGACCTGCAAAGAGGCGGAAAGATGAAAACGGACATTCCAGGAACCTGACAGAAGGAAGGTCCTGGGGCTGAGAGCTAAACCAGGAACTGAGTCTAAGAAGATGAGGAGTTAAGGACCCCCAACTCCTGGGGTACCCATCTCCCAAAAACATCCCAGACTGGGGTCCTGGCCGGAAAGAAGCCTCTGGCCACCCCGAGTTAGTTCATCCTCTGACCCACCACATTTTCTGATCCTCCGTGGGGCTTCCCCCTCCTGGTTCCGTTCCACCTATCAACTCCCTTCCCCGGTATCCCAGCAACCCAGGGCGGTTCAGCAGAGGCAGAGGTGAAGCGGTTGCCATAGTAACAGCGGGGTGAAAGGTCATTCTGGCGTTAGCCTAAGTGGCCCCGCAGCAGGCCGGAGCTGGCACTGAGCGGGGATGGGAGGGACTCTCTTTCTCCTCTCCCGTTCTGCCCAGAATGGTGCTGGAAGGAAACCCCGACGTGGGGTCCCCTCGAACCTCAGACCTCCAGCGCCCTGGGAGCCAGGGCTCTTGCATCCTCTCTTCCGGGGAAGACGTGCAGCCAGGCGAGGAGCCCATCAAGTATGGCGAACTCATCGTGCTGGGGTGAGCGTCCCGGTCCAGGTGGGGCGGGGCCCCAGGCTCCCCCCCCCCCCCCCCCCGCAGGGCAACCGAACCGAGGGCCCCAGTGCTCCCCTTCCCCGCCTTCTGCTCTTTGTCCCTCCTCCTCTTCCCTGCCGAGGGACAGAGCTGACCAAACCCACGGAGTTCATAACCGTTGTTTTATCTTCCCGTTTCTCGTTAATTACGAAGACAACTCTGAGCGACCCACCTGTTTCTGATCAGCTGCCTTTCCTAAAAGCACCTTGTGAGTGTGTCGGCCGAGGTGGGGAACTCTGGTTCTCTATCAAAATCGCTCGGTTCAGATCCTGCCTCTGCAAGTGAACCTCCCTCCGCCTCCGTTTCCGCCCCTGGCAGACAGGGATGGAGACAGCACCTCAGAGGCGCTGGAAGGAAGGGCCAGGGCGATTTCTGTAAAGCGCAGAGACCAGGGCCTGGCCCGGAGCGAGTGTTCTGGGAGGCAGGCCTGTGCCAAGCCCTTTCATGGACGTTGTTTCATTTTAATCTTCACAAGATGCTGTGAGGAAGGAGGTGAGGAAACCGAGGCTCAGAGAGGGGAAGTGACTGGTCTGAGGGCACACAGCTGGTAAGTGGCAGGGCTGGGATTTGGATCCAGGTCTTTCTTACTCTCTGTCTAGTGTGCGTTCACTAAAAGCCACAGCTGGTTTTCATGCCACAGATGAGAAAACAGGCCGGAAGAGAGGAAGTGATGTGAGTTGGTGGCTGGGTGACTTCCTGGCTCTGTCTGACCAGGATCCCTGCCGCAACCACTTTGCATTTCTCCAGACACAGGTCCCTCTTCCTCCCCCTTTCTCTCCCCCATCTGCCCTGGAGAAAATACTCAAGAAGCCATGTCATCATTATGATGATTTTGTAGAAATAATACTGGCTACTGTTTGTTAAACTATACATGCCATGTGCTTTAAAAAAAAAATTATTTGATTTTAGAGAGGAAGGGAGAGGGAGAGAGATAGAAACATCAATGATGAGAGAGAATCACTGATCGGCTGTCTCCTGCATGCCCCGTCCTGAGGTTGGGGCCCGAAACCTGGGCATGCGCCCTGACCAGAAATCAAACCGTGACCTCCTGGTTCATAGGTCAACACTCAACCACTGAGCCACACTGGCCAGGCCCATGTGCTTTTAAAAATAATAATAGCTGACATGTATGAAGGGTCTGCTGTATATATGCCAAACTCTGCCTAGCATTTTTAAAAGCTTTATCTCGTTTAGTTCTCACAATGGACCCACAGGTAGGTCCTGAGAAATTAGCCCCATTTTACAGAGGCCATGTGATAAATGGACAAGCCAGGATGTCAGCTAGGCCCTCCTGAGCCCCAGCCTGGGTCCTGAGCTGCCCCATCCCCCATGGGGAAGGAGCTTCAGGGGTAAGAGTGATGGCCACTCAGGGGGGTTTGCCTTAGAACAGCAGCTGCTGGGTGTTCCAGAGGCAGGGCTGTCTGTGTAGATGAAGGGGGAGAGCACAGACGTAGGGCCGGATCCTCTTGACGGCTGGTGGGCCAGTGCCAAGCACTGAAGCCCACACTGGTGGTACCTCTGAGCCAGCCTGAGAGCACATGGAAAGTGGCCAGTGACAGGCCCACCCGAGCCTCCAGAATCCCCGTCTCCATGGGTGCGGCCAGGGATTCTGTATCGTAACAAGCTCCTGGCAGATTCGGATCAAGTGGTCCTTGGCTGTATGTGGCCTCTCTTCATCCTGTCAAACCACCCTGCGCTCCCCACTGCTTACAGAATAAAGCGCAGACTCCTCCGCCTGGTGTTCTGGGCCCTTCCGCAATCCTCATCTGCTCCCGTTGCACTGCGCCACCCGGGTCACCATGCCCTGACCTCATCAAGCTCTGCCAGCCGCGGGGCTGTTGCTGACGGCGAGCCTCCCCTCTCAAAGGGCTTCTGCAGGAAAGGCTGGAGTCAGACAGACTTTCTCTTATTAGCCTGGGACCTCAGGCAAGTCATTTTCCCTCCCTGAGCCTCAGTTTTCCTCATCTGTAAAATGGGAAGAAGATCCTGGCTTGGCAGGACATTGCACAGGTTCCATTAGGTAATTAACGAAGCACCAGGAACACGGGAGGCTCCAGTACATGGCAGCAATCAGGTCTCACCCCATCCTTGCTTTCCACCTCCTTCCCTCCGGACAGGAGCTGGACAGGAAGGTAGACTTTTGAAGTGAATGGATATATGGAGGCCGTGGCATTGCGGGTCTAGTTTTTTCTTTCATTCTGGTTCCCAGCAGTACCATGGTGCGATAAATGGCAGTTTGCTGAAGGTGCCTCCTTTCCAGTTCTTCAGGGCCCGGGAGAGGTGTTCCCTCTCCCAGAAATGTGATCCTGGGCCAGGACACCCTTCTTCTGCCTCTGGGCTTGTGGTGCACTTGACTTGTGACTGGGTCATGGCAGGTGGCACCCAGGGTCCTTGAAAAGCTAAGGATCCCCCTCCCCCACCGCTAGGGCATAGAACTGACCTGTGGTTCGTCACCTCTGCCATCCCAGCGCCCAGCGCCTGGCCGGGCACGGCTGAGGGGCAGGAATCACCCGTTAATTTAACGAAAAGTCCTGTGAAGACGTTCTGACCCGGTCCGCTCCCGAGAGGCACCCCTCGGATAAGCCGGGCCTTGAGGTGTCAGGTGGTTCCGGGGCTTGTTAAGGTGGCATCTGCCCAGACGTTGGCAGTTCCTACTGGTCTCTCAAAGGCTCACCTGTGTCTCTCTCTCCCTGCCACCTCTTCTCCACTCCCGTGTCCACAGCTACAACGGGTGTCTGTCGAGCGGGGACAAGGGCCGCCGGCGAAGCCGCCTGGCGCTGAACCGCAGGCCGCACGCCAACGGGGTGAAGCCGGACGTCATGCACCACATCTCCACGCCGCTCATCTCCAAGGCAAGCCGCTTGGCCCAGCAGCCCGGCTGGGAAGGTCCTGCCCTCTCCGCCCGCAGGAGCGGGAGCCGGGAGCCGCCGTGTCTGCACTCCCTGCCCCCGGGGCCGCCAGAGAGATGGGGGAGGCATAGTCCTGTCCAGTTTGCAGAGCGTTTCGCCACCCACAGAACAGCTATTATTTATTTATTCAATGTTTGCATTGAATTCAGAGAGGAAGAGAGGGAGAGAGAGAGAGAAACACCAATGACGAGAGAGAATCTTTGATCGGGTGCCTCCGGCTTGCCCCACACTGGGGATCTGCCCCACAACCTGGGCAGGTACCCTGACTGGGAATCAAAGTGTGACTTCCTACGTCAACGCTCAACCACAGAGCCACGCCAACTGGGTAGCACCATTTTATTTTATTTTTAATATATGTTTATTGATTTCAGAGAGGAAGGGAGAGAGTTAGAAGCATCGATGGGAGTCAACGATCAGCTGCCTCTTGCACGCCCCCTACTGGGGATGTGCCCGCAACCAAGGTACATTCCCTTGACCAGAATCAAACCCGGGACCCTTCAGGTCACAGGCCAACACTCCATCCACTGAGCCAAACCAGCTAGGGCTAATTTTAGAGGCAGCCCGGGGTCAGAGGAGCCATGCGAGTCACACAGAAGTGACAAAGGAAAAGCTTTTGGGTTAGGATTGCTGTTTCCGGTTTCCTCGGCGGTCCGATGGAGCGGTAACCTGGCTCCCTGGGGGCAGAGGACCTCTGCACAGGGCAGAACCGCCCTCCCCGGAGTGGCCGCCGGCCTCGGGCTCCAGCCCCAGCTCAGAGGCTCCCCTCTCCTGGCTGCGTGCCTGAGGGCTAACTTCCTTCTCCCCACAGGCGCTGAGCAACCGGGGCCAGCACAGCATCTCCTACACCCTGTCCCGGAGCCATTCGGTCATAGTCGAGTACACACACGACAGCGACACAGACATGTTCCAGGTATGCTCGGGCCCCTCCTCACGCCTCAGTGCGCGGCTCTGCCGACATTCCGGGCGAGGCCGGAGGCCGGAGGCCCTGGGGGAGGCGCTCTGGGGGCCTCAGTGCAGTCACCACCCTTCAGATGAGGAAGCGGGGCATCCCAGCGAGGGCCCACAGCAGGCCGCAGCCGCGTCAAGACTCAGACCCAAGGCACTCCCCGGCTGTGGGGGGACACACGGTGGAGGGGTTCAGGGTGGGGGGACACACCGTGGAGGGGTTCAGGGGGCCGTGTGAGAGTCACACCGCCCGGTTCAGATCCCAGCTCCGTTGCTTATTGGCTTGGTGGCGTTGAGCAAGAGCCACCTAACCTCTCCGGGCCTTGCTTACCTCACGGCTCAGGGGGCCCATGGAGTTACTGGTTAGACGAACGAACGGAGATATCGCACAGAACATGCTTAGCAAGGAGCCTGGCATACAATAAACACTAACAGTTCACCAGTTGCTGCTGACATGCGAGCACTCCCAGACCGTGGGCGTCCCCCTTTCACTGTTCAGTCGGCAAATGGACTAGTTTCTACTGAGTGGGGTGCTCCCCAGAACCTCGGGGGAGGCGAGGGAGAAGTGCTAGACCTTGGCAACTGGACTTCAGCTCCCAGGGGACTTGGGACGGTGCTGCCCCTCGTTATCTGGTGACTGTACGTGCAGAGCAGCTACCAGGAAGCCCGGGGGATGGACCTGTCCACACAGCGTCCCCGGGCTGGCCTCCCCCCCCCCCCCAGATCGGCCGCTCCACGGAGAACATGATTGACTTCGTGGTGACAGACACGTCTCCCGGAGGCGGGGTGGCCGAGGGCCCCTCTCCCCAGAGCACCATCTCGCGCTACGCCTGCCGCATCCTGTGTGACCGCCGGCCGCCCTACACCGCCCGCCTCTACGCCGCCGGCTTCGATGCCTCCAGCAACATCTTCCTCGGAGTGAGTGAGTCCCCGGCGTCTGAGAGTGAGCGGCGGGGTAGGCTGGGGAGGGGCAGCATTCTGGGGTGACGGACCAGCCCTCCGTAGTCCTAGCTGTGACCTGCGCAGGGATTAGCACCCCACTTAGCAAATGAGCAAAGTGAGGTTCGGAGAGGTCAGATGACGTCCAAGGCCAGGCAGCGACCGCTTTAGTCCCCTCTGGGCTACCTGCGACCTTGAGGGTAGAGGGACAGCCCCCCCGGCCCCCCACCCCGGCTCATGCCCTGCTGGGGGCCACTTGGGGGAGGTGTGGTCTGATCCCACGTGTGGTCCCAGGAGCGGGCAGCCAAATGGCGGACCCCCGATGGCCTGATGGACGGCTTAACCACCAATGGGGTCCTGGTGATGCACCCAGCGGGCGGCTTCTCTGAGGACTCGGCCCCAGGTGTCTGGCGGGAGATCTCAGTCTGTGGGAACGTCTATTCTCTGAGGGACAGCCGCTCGGCGCAGCAGCGGGGGAAGCTGGTAGGTGGCCTGCCCCCCCCCCCCCCCGCGCAGTCATCCTTCCTGGGATCTCCAAACCCCCCGCCCCCCTGCCCAGGCCAGGAGGTGGGCTCCAGTCCTCCCGCACAGGGAGCCCCGCAGGCTCCGTGTGCCGCGGCTGCACAGAGGGGACCAGACCCACGTCCCCGAGTGCCACCCTCGTGGGCGGTCCCAGGGCGATAGGAAGTGGCGCACGCACAGACACACCATGCAGACACACCCTGAGAGGGTGGCAGCAGCCGAGAAAGATCACACGCTCCCCAGAGACGGACACCTGGCCCACGGGTGAGCAGTTGACAGCCTACAGCGTCGGTGGCAGTTGTAACGTGTCTGTCACATTCAGACGGGCTTAGCTTTGCTCTCCTCTCCCAGCGGGAGAGCCTGCGGAGCGGTCCCGACGCAGGTGACGGTGACTGTGACCGCTCCCTGCAGTCCGGGTGGAAAACGAACGCCGGGAGCTGGGAGAGGGTCTGAGACGAGGCAGGCGCCTGCCCAGGGCCATGTGGCCTCGTCCCTCCCGGGGGCCGGGCTGAGCTCTTTCCCGGTAGCCGTGCGTCTGGCCAGGAGCCGCCAAACCCCAGGGAACCACGTGGCTTACCTTCCCAGAGCACGGATTCTGCCGGGAGGGTGGGGAAGACTTGATTTTTTAAAATTATTTCACTAGCGTGCACTAAGTTCCGGGCACGTTCCAGTTTACGTTGATTGACTCACGAGAACCACTTGACATACAGGAGCCGTGGTCGGCAAACGGTGGCTCTTTGGCCCCTTGAGGGCGGCTCTTCCACAAAACACCACGGCCTGGGCGAGTCTATGTTGAAGAAGTGGCGTTAGGAGAAGTTTAAGTTTAAAAAAATGTGGCTCTCCAAAGGAATTTCAGTCGTTGTGCTGTTGGTATTTGGCTCTGGTGAGTTTGCCCACCACTGGTCTGGAGGGTAAAGAAATGAAGACATAGAAAGGTCGAGTGACTCGCCCAGGGACACAGATTTAGAAACTGGGGAGGCCAGAACTCACTCCCAGGCAGGCTAGCTCAGAGTCCGCGCTTTAAGCACAGCCTCCAGGACCCCTGATTCCGATACAAGAGTGTCCTGCCTCTGCCACTAGGGGGCGGCCTGGGACAACTCTGTGTGGGCCCAGACCCCTCCTGGTTTGAGGGATGAGGTAGCCAAGGCCCACGCTTTGCTGTGAGGGACCCTGTGTGCCCGGGGGCACCTGCCAGCCCTCCTGTGGCTCCTTGCATCCCCCCCTCCTGTGCCCCAGCCCCCCCCTTCTCTGTCTCAGCCCCACCCCCCCGCGCCCCCCCAGCCGGCTCCGACCGTCCAGGGAGGGGCCCTCCCAGGGAGACTCCGTGGGATGGATGGGTGGCTGGTCCCCGATGGCAGGGGTTTGGGGCCTCCTGGGCCATCAGGCCCCTCTGCTCCCGGCAGGTGGAGAACGAGTCCAACGAGCTGCAGGACGGCTCGCTCATCGACCTGTGCGGGGCCACACTGCTCTGGCGCACGCCGGCCGGGCTGCTGCGGGCGCCCACGCCGAAGCAGCTGGAGGCACAGCGGCAGGAGGCCAACGCGGCCCGGCCGCAGTGCCCCGTGGGCCTCAGCACGCTGGCCTTCCCCAGCCCGGCCCGCGGCCGCTCGGCCCCCGACAAGCAGCAGCCCTGGGTGTACGTGCGCTGCGGCCACGTGCACGGCTACCACGGCTGGGGCTGCCGGCGGGAGCGGGGCCCGCAGGAGCGCGAGTGCCCGCTCTGCCGCCTCGTGGGGCCCTACGTGCCCCTGTGGCTGGGCCAGGAGGCCGGCCTCTGCCTGGACCCCGGGCCGCCCAGCCACGCCTTCGCGCCCTGCGGCCACGTCTGCTCCGAGAAGACTGCCCGCTACTGGGCCCAGACGCCGCTGCCCCACGGCACGCACGCCTTCCACGCCGCCTGCCCCTTCTGCGGGGCCTGGCTCACCGGCGAGCTCGGCTGTGTCCGCCTCATCTTCCAGGGGCCGCTGGACTAGGCCCCCGGACCCCGCCGCCTCGCCCACCTGCCCGCCCGGCTCCCCGCCTCCTCCCGCGGCCTGCAGGGAGCTCTGCATGTGGGACTCCGCCTGTGGGCACCGGGCCGCCCCCCGCGCGGGCGCCCTGGACGGCTGTGCCCATCCCCCGGGAGCCCTGAGGCGTCCTGCGGCCCACGCTCCAGCCGGAAGGATGGGCCTTGGCACCAGCGTGCCCCGCCTGAGGGAAGGAAGCCCATCCGTCGGGTCTGATCCTGATGGGGGTCAGGGCCCTGGCCCTCCCCGGTGTCTCACGTGCTGCCGCCGACACTGTGCCCCGGGGGAGTGAAAGGGCCCCGGGCCCCTGACCCCCGGTTGGGGCTGCTGTGCCCGGAGCCTGCTGACCAGCTTCCGATACCCACCTGCTGCCGCCCCGGGTCCCGTAAACCTCGCTGCTCAGCTGCCTCACCAGCCCCCCGTGTCCCGCATGTGCCCAGCGCCTCTGCCCCCGGTGGCGGGGCAGGCTGGGGCCAGCTGATACCCCGTGGGCCGGACTCCAGCCGGGGGCCCTGGGGACACGAGGACGATGAGACCTGGCTGCCCGCCCGGTGGAGTTCACAGCCTGGTGGATGCCGGAGCGCACGGCCGAGTGACAGCGTGGCCTCCTGCCTGCCCGGGTCCGAGTTCCCGGGGCTGCGGCGCGGGGCTGGCTGGCGGGTGGGAAAGCGAGGGAGGGCCGCGGAGGAGGTGGCACAGGAGCTCAGGGAACCCCCGCAGGAAGGGGAGGGCGCCCTCGGCGGGCGGGAGAGGCGGACACAGGCTCCGAGTGAGGAAGCGGGAACCGAGTGGGGTGCAGCGTGGCTGGGGCCCTGGTGGCTGGAGCCGGGCCTCCGGGCGGGCGGGAGGTTGGGGCCTGCCGAGAGGGAAGGTGCCGGACGGAGGACTCGGAACCTCGAGTGCGGACACTCAGGAGCCGAGAGAGGAGAGAGGACTCGCCGATCCAGAGCTTTGGCTGTGACATAAGGGCTACCGTTCCCGAATGCCCACCTGTGCCCCGCACTGTGCTGATGAGAATAATAACTCTGGTCACTGAGCACTCACCGGGCATCGGCTCTGCTTCCGGAGGTTTGGGTGTTTATCCTCACAGGAACCGGAGGGAGGTGCTGCCGGCTCTGTTCACGGGCAGATTGAGGTGCGTGCTCCAAGCCCCACGGCGAGGAAGTGGCCACGCCAGATCCCCGTCCTTGGCCGCCCGCCTGGACGCAGGCCTGCCCGCTTTTCCATTACACCCAGCTGCTTTCCTCGGACTGGGCGGGTGGGGGAAGGGGGAAGGAGGAAGGCCTGGGGAGGGCAGCCCAGGTAAGGGGAAGAGCGGGGGCAGAGGAGCTGGCAGGACAAACGGGCCGGGCGTGGAGGGGGCAGAAAAGAGGAATGAGGGGTGGGACGTTGGACTGGGGCCTGGTGGGCTGGGGTTGCCATGGAGGCCAAGTCTGAATCGGATCCCTGAGAGCCAAGACAAGCTTGGGGTGCTGCGCAGGTCGCCCCAGACTATTTCTAGGTAGCGGTCGCCAACCGGTGGCCCGCAGACCCCTGGAGGTCCGTGAGGTCCCAAAGGTTGGCGACCACTATTCGGGGGAGTGAGCTAGGAAGACAGTTTCTGGAGATAAAAAGAATAACCTGTAGAGGAGGCTCTGAATACAAGCCTGACCTGGACATCAGCCCCAGTGGGAGATGGCTGCCGAGGGAGTGCCATTCCTAGGGGAGGCCACACAGCCAGTTGGGGCCACAGAGCCCAGACCCAGGGCTGTTGAGGGGACAGAGGATGAGTGGTGAGAGGGGAGGTGCTCAGTCTTGCTTCTTGCTTCCAGAGCATCACATCACCCTGCCAGGGGAGGGGAGCCCTGCTGGGGAGGCTGGGGGCGGGGTATGGAAGCATGGAGACTGCTACACACACACACACACACACACACACACACACACACACGACTCCTACACACACACACACACACACACACACACGACTCCTACACACACACACACACACGACTCCTACACACACACACACACACAGCACTAGGAATCCAACTCTTCCCAGTGCTTTTCTCTCTCACCCCGCCTGGGAACCGGACGGGAACATTCTGACCCCAGGTCTAGCAAGGAATCTCAGACTCTGGGAGAGAGATGAGCACCGGGCACAGGCACAGCCCCAAGGAGAACTCACAAGTGGTGGCGGAGGGGGTCAGACAGCCCTGGTCTTGGCCCAGCTCTGCCCTTGCCCACTCCTGGAGTCTCCGTTTCCTCGGCTGTTAAATGGAATAAAAGCCCCATCACCGGGTGGTTGTGAATGATGGAGGGTGCCTGTACTACAGTAGGTCCTTCATGTTACTTTCCCCACCCATCTCTTCTTCATTCCCATGAGAAGAGACAAGGCTGGGACAGTCAGGGCGCCAGGGAGTGGACTGCTGTGTGCGTGCGTGTGCGTGTGCATGCGCGCTGAGGCAGGTGGAGTCTGAGGAAGGCTGAATCCCAGTGCAGGGACACCTCAGGACATGCTGGGTGGTCTTAGGGAAATAAACGAACCTATTAGCCTGTTTCCCCACCCGTACAACAGGTAAAATGATGATATCCTATTTCAAGGTTTTTGCGCAAATCAAATGAGATCCTCCATGTCCGGCTGCTAGTACGGGACCCAGTTAGGCTCAGAGTAGCCAGGATCAGAAAAATGCAGCTTGCTGAGGCTCCCAGGAGCACCGGGGTCTTTTGTTGGCCCGAATTACCCACTGGTGGCAGTGGACAGCCTACTGCCCCCTTTCCCGGGGTACATTTCAACCCCACCACGTCAGGAAGGAAGATGTGTACTCATAGACCATGGAAATGCACCAGGAAGAAGGATGGCTTGCTAAGGACATGGGCCCATTTATTGTGCTCCTCCCAGGATGCTCACCCTTGGGGCGAACAGCTGAGCTTTGTGAACAAGCAGTCAGGCAGATATTGCTTTGGGGCAAGACAAGGGTGGCAAAGCCCAAACTGGCAAGGAGCGGATGTGGATTTCCGGTCTCCTCTCCTCCCCGCATCCTCTCTGCACAACACTAGGGGGCAGCACTGACCAGTCAACCCTCCACTGAAGCTGACATCCATCCCTCAGAGAGGAAACAATTATTAGCCCCGTTTTTTTTCTGCTAAGAAAGCCAAGACTCAGAGAGGTCAAGGGACCCAACCAAGGACACAGCCGGTAGGCGGTGGAGGCCAAGTTCGACTTCAGATGGCCTGACTCCGCCTCCACTCTGATCGGGGACCCTCCCAATACTCCCACTAGGTCCCAGCTGGGGCCCGGCCCTCCTCCAGGGAGGCCGTCCAGACACACAAGGGTGGCTCTCAGGCCCGCTCTGCCCTGGTCCGCCTTTCTAGGTCGCAGGCGGCTTTCTCATCCATCAGGCGCCCCACAAGCTGCAAGAAATCGCTGTGCGTTCCGCCCGGAGAGCTCGGCGGACTCCAAAGAGCCTCCACCCCCCGGCCATCGAACCCAGCGAGGGCGGCGCGCCACATCCTCCCCTTGGTGCAGGCTTCCACCTGCCAGACTCGGAGGCCAGGGACCCGGAAAACCCCAAAGGAGATCGGGGTCCAGGCTGTGTGTGTGGGGGGCAGGGAGTGGAAGTCCCGGGGACTCCGTCAGGGACACCCATGCCGCCCCGCCCGGATCGGGGGCCTGGTCAGCCCGGTCTGCCGGCGCCGGGCCGCGGCCAGGCCCGCCACGCGGTCCCCGCCCCGCGCGAGCACCGCCCCCGAACAAAAGGCCGAGGCCGCGGGGTCCCCACCCCCCAACCCCCGCGCGACCCCGAAGCCCCGGGAAGCGGGGAGCGAGCGGGCCGGCGGAGCACGCTTCCGCGCTCCTATTGGCTGGAGGGGACGCCCATCTGGAGCCCGAGGCCCGGCGATTGGCCGGAGGGGGCGGGGCTCGCGGAGCCCCGATGAATGGGGGAGCCGGAAGCAGGAAGTGAGTGTGCGATCGGAGCCGCTGCTGCAGGTGAGGCGCGGCGCCTGGGTTTCGGGTCACGAGGTGTCATCCTCCGGGGACAGGGCGAATCCGGACCGGGTGCAAGGCCATTCCCTTCCGAACCCCCACCCAGCTCCCCTTCGGAGGCCCCCGGGGCCCCGAGGCCGAGGCATGCCCCTGGCAGCAAAGGGTTAACGCCCCTCTCAGAACCTGGGCGACCGCGCTTTGGGGCGGAGCATGGGGGGCGGCGGGGGGTGCTGAGACCCTGTCCGTGAGGGAGGGAGGACGGGGCGGAGCATGTCCTGGGTCGGGGCACCCCTGGGTCCCCACAGGCTGTGAGAGCTTCGTCAGCTACTTGGTCTCGCCCAGCCCCAGCCTCCCTCGCTGTAGAAAGTGAGTTTTCTCCCAGCCCCGAACTTCATGGCTCTGAGCCCGGGGAGAGAGCAGCAGGATGCAGGGCACGGATCCGGGGAGCACGGAGAGGGGGAAAGGAAAAGCATGAGCTGCTGTGGGTGCATTCCGTCCGGGTGACCTTATCTGATTTGCACACCCACCGGGTGAGGGTGGGGTTGCTATCGCAGGGGCGGAGGCCCAGAAAAGCGAAACAGTGGACTTGATTTTAGGAGTCTGGGACTGAGCCCGGATTGGAACCGGGTCTTCCAGCTGGTAGCCCGGGACTCTGTCGGTGTGAACAAGGGGTGAGTGGAGCTGAAGAGCCTGCAGGAGAATTTTGAGGGCCAGGAGGTCAGAAGGAGGGGTAGCCAAGAGAAGGAGGAGGGCTGGGAGTCTAGAAATGCAGGTCTCGGCTTCTGACCCTTCCCCTGTGTTACTCGGCACAGCTCCTAACCTCCCTGGGCCTCAGTTTCCCTATCTGTAAGACTAGGTAGTTGGGTTCAATATTCAAGGTTGAGGGGCCACAGGCCAAATACGGCCCACCCGTGTATTTTGTCATTTCCTTGGGTGAGCCACCTGACCTTCTCAGGAGCCTCGGTTGGCATATCTGGTGAATGGGTGCGATGGCGTTTTCTTCCTCGTGGGCTTTTGGGAGGATCAGATGAAGTCATGAGAGGGCAGCGCCAGGGGTGTGACGATGGCAATGGTTCCCAGCAGGACCCATGGCGGACACCCAGTACATCCTGCCCAATGACATCGGCGTGTCCAGCCTGGACTGCCGCGAGGCCTTCCGCCTGCTGTCGCCCACAGAACGCCTCTACGCCCACCACCTGTCGCGCGCGGCCTGGTACGGAGGCCTGGCCGTGCTGCTGCAGACCTCGCCAGAGGCCCCCTACATCTATGCCCTGCTCAGCCGGCTCTTCCGCGCCCAGGACCCCGATGAGCTGCGCCAGCACGCGCTGGCCGAGGGCCTCACCGAGGACGAGTACCAGGTCAGTTCTTTCAGGCCAACCTGCATGTCTTTTTAAAAAATATGTTTTATTGATTTTTTACAGAGAGGAAGGGGGTGGGACAGAGAGCTAGAAACATTGATGAGAGAGAAACTTCCATCAGCCGCCTCCTGCACTCCCCCTACCTGCACTCCCCCTACCGGGGATGTGCCCGCAACCAAGGTACATGCCTTTGACCTGAATCGAACCTGGGACCTTTCAGTCCGCAGGCTGATGCTCTATCCACTGAGCCACACTGGTTTCGGCCCAACCTGCATTTCTTAAATGGTCTGTGGGTGTGAGAGACCAGGAAGGAGGGGTATAAAGGTCTTTCTCGCTCTTTGGATTAAGACCCAAATTTACAAATGCTGGAGCCTCTGGCCTTCTCATTTGCAAAATACGCCTGAGGGCAGTCTGTGCCTCTCAGTGTTGTGGTGGCCTGTCTCCAAAACAAAGTTTGGCTGCAGTGATTGTAGCAGGACTGTGGGAAAAGAAAACGGCTGGAGATGCAGAGATGGTCGAGCCGTGGTCGGCAAACTGCGGCTCGAGAGCCACAGGCGGCTCTTTGGCCCCTTGAGAGCGGCTCTTCCACAATATACCACGGCCTGGGCGAGTCTATTTTGAAGAAGTGGCGTTAGAAGAAGTTTAAGTTTAAAAAATGTGGCTCTCCAAAGGAATTTCAGTCGTCGTCCTGTTGACATGTGGCTCTGTGGACTGAGGAGTT